CCCCGACCCGCCCCCCTCGCGGCCCCACCCGCGCCCCCGGCTCCCTATTGGCTCTCACCCCCACCCGCGGGGGCGTGGCCTCTCTCGGCTCCTCCCCCCGCGGCCCCTTCCCGCTGCTGAGGGGCGGGGCCACCTTCTCGCGAAGCCCCGCCTCCCCGTTCTTAGCCACGCCCCGAGGGGGCGGAGCCTGCTTCCCGCGTAGCCCCGCCTCCCCCTTCTTAGCCACTCCCTGCCGCGCCGGGGGCGGGGCTTGCTTCGGTGGGGCGGGGCGAATGGGGCTGGGGGGCGGAGCCTGCGCTCACCGCCTCCAAGCCGGGGGCGGGGCTTCGTGCTCCCCGCGCTTAAGCTCCGCCTCCTGCCTGCACCGCCTGCAGCAGGGGGGCGGGGCCTGCGGCCGCTTAAGCTCCGCCTCCTGCCTGCACCGCCTGGGCTGCGGGGGGGGGGGCCGCCTCACCTCCCCCTGCTGCCACCGCATGGTGGGCGGAGCCTCTTCGGCCACGCCCCCTCGCTCCCCCTCCCCTTTCGCCGCCACCCCCGCCGGCGTCACCTCGTCCCGCCTCTACCAGTACGCCCAGTACGGCCATCAGTACTCCTCCTCCTCCTCCCAGTACAGCGCCTACCAGTACGCCCAGTACTCCCAGTACGCCTCCCAGTACTCCTCTTCCTCCTCCTCCTCCTCCTCCTCCTCCTCCTCCTCCTCCCAATACGCCCAATACGGCGCCAACCATTACACCGCCATGGCCGCCGCGGCCGCTCAATACGCGGCGGCTGTTCAACAACAACAACAGCAACAACAACAACAACAACAGCAACAACAACAACAGTCGGCCGCCGACGCCTCCCAGTACAGCGCCTCCCAGTACGCCGCCGACGCCTCCCAGTACGGCACCGGTGACGCCGGGGCTCAATACGCGGCCTGGAGCACCGACGGCAGCGCCGCGTGGGCACAGGCAGCCGCCGGCGGAACCAACACCGGCACCGGCACCGCCTGGGGGGCCTGGGTGTCCCCGGCTCCGTAGCATCACCGCCTTCTCCTCTCCACCCCTATCGGGGTCGGTCGGTTGATTTCTTTTTGCATCTTTCCCCCCTCCTCTTTTTCCCCTCAAATCCTCCTCTCTGCTCCCCACCCCCCCCTCTCTGCCCCACCACCACCAAATTCCCGACCCTCCCCACGGCCACGGCGCGGCCCCAACGCCGACGGTGCGGCCCCACGGCGCCCGCCCCACAGGTGAGCTGCTGGTTGGGGGGGATGGGGGTCTGGGGGCGGGGGGGGGAAGGGCGGTTTGCAGGCCCCAGGTGGGGTTGGGGGGCGTGGAGAGGAGATGTGGCC